CATATCAAAAACACTGCTTGACACTAGGAAGTGTGAACTGCTACTGCACTGCTCACAAGCCTTATCAGCTGCCTGCATGTTTGTGATGATACATATTTGGCTATATTGATATTGAGCAATAGCATGGAAAAGAGTTATTCAAATTACCCGCTGTATTCTTTTAGTAAGAAGTGAGACTAAATTTTTGGGCTGGAGTAAAGGTTCTTTCCACTTCAGCCACAAAAGAGTTAACATAACTAGATCCAGATAACGATCAATTGATAAATGACGATTGAACCACATAGATAGTAGTAGATTGCCTGTTTAGTATTAGACCTTTTTCAACAGATTTAGCCTCTGTGGTCTCTGGAACACTAGAAAATGTTCAACACTGACAAAGAGAGGAAACAAAACTAAATAAAAGAGCATCACAGTCTGTAAGGGGGTCAAATAATTTGAGACAACTAGCTCATTAGACCAAGCCAAACATTTATGCACGTAAGCTAGGCTGTTTGGTTTCTGTTTTCTTTTTTAAATAATGTTTTTAATGCGCTAATTCTTGAGTATTAACTGGATTTTGTACATTATTGAACATGTGTGGTGATGTTGTATTCTGTACAGAAGAAGAGAAGTAATGTATTAAATGACTAAATGTGTGGTGAGGTGCTGCATCAGTGTGTATCCTTCCACTGGAATACACACACAGTAGCACTGCAAAGGTGGTAATGTAGAACAGATTTATTTCTTAAAAGTCTGTACTTAACGCGTTCGCGTACTGTGTTAATCTCCTTGTCATATTTTGTTTGTTTGTTTATCGTGTGCTAAACATATTCAGTCCAAATATGCTTTCATTATGCTTTTAAGAGGAGGGTAAGTTATTTTGCTAAACGCATTTCTCTCCTCTTTAAGGATAATATTTTGTCTTCTATTTCTGATTTGTTAAGGCTGTTATAACTTGCTAGCTCACACAGACTATAAGGACATGCTGTGTGCAAGTGCAGCTGCAAATTTGTGTCTAAGTGCCAATGCTTCTTTCTAAATCACTACAATTTTGAATATTGTTTTCTGTTACCTATTTTCATCCATTTGTTAGTTAATTGTTTTCAATCCATCTTCTGGAAATGTAAGTACTTTTAAAATTTTTCCTATGTTTTAAGAAAAATTGTTTTCACGAGTACAAATAATGTGAAGTTATGAAATGTACATAACTTGCAAGCAAAGTTTGGCATGGTTTGAAAGAACTGTTTAATGAAACTTTTCCACCTATATGTAGTAATGCTAGAGACATTTATTTTTTAAATTTTCTAAGTATAATGCTGGCTTTCCACATGTTTTTTAGAAGCAAACAAACCCTGAGCCCCATCACTTTTCCTTGGAGTTGTAACTTAATCTCAGGCAGGTTTTTAGTACAAAAATTGGAGCATGGCAAGAATGATTTAGAACAAAACAAAACCTTGCGATCCCTCCCTCGTCTTACCTCTCAACTCACACTGCACTGCTATTTGCATACTATAGGAATGAATAACTTTTCTGAGATTAAAAGGAAAACCTGCTTCATTATGGCAAGGAACTGCATGTGTCTGAGAAAAATTAGGATTGATTCTACAGGCTTGGGCTATTAATAGCAAGTATGATGGTATTTGGTTTTGGATTATTTTCTTAGAGAATGGGATCGCAAGGAAATGGCATCTCCACATTCCAGAGCAAATTTAGGTTTTGGTGGGGTGAGAGGAGAAGAGGAATTACCTGTGAGAAGTTTATGACATGGCCACTTGACTGCATTGTTTTGCCTATGCACCTTTTGTCCATGTAAAAGTGTGTGATTTGCTTGGAAGGGGTCATCCCATTCTGTATACAGAAGAATGTCTGATAACCTTAAAGGGCATAAATCTTAACTTTTAAAAAGGAGTGCTTCTTTGGGTCACTTTGATCAGTGACAGGTCGAGAATGAGCAGAAACCCTTGGCTTCTCTTCCATGCTCATCTGGTTAAGTCCAGGGCACCCACTGCCCATTCTAGTTCTGGCAAGGAGTTGTTAACAACAGAAAAGAAGGTCTGGATTTGACTGATTAAAAAAAGCAGGCTTTTGTGATTGTCTGCTTTCATAAATGTTTTGTGCATTTGTCAGAATAAGAAATGTCATTTTTCTTCATCCAGTTACCTTAAGGGCTGTAATGTTCTAAAATACTTTTAAGTCATTTCAGAAACGAGACCGTAAGAGAAATGGCTGTAACCCACAGTGACACAAAATGCCAGAGCCATGTACCTTTTTGTTAATAAAGCAGTATGTTTAATCCGTTTCAGATAAAAAAGTAATAGCCTTTCCAGAAGCTTTTTTTCAATGTGAGAGTGAAAAAGCAGTATATCAGAATTATAAATGGATCTGTGCGTCATTATATAGTAATTTAGGATTCACTCAATGATGTAACAAAATTAACAACATAATTTCATTGTGTAACTGTATCTTATTAAAGAACAACTGTCTGACATTCTCTTACAGTTGCTTTATTTAACTTCATGCAAATATTATTAGTAGTGACATTTCTCTATTGTACATTAGATTCTCTCATTAGCATGATGTGTTAGTTATCACCAGAGAAATCACTTCTAGATAGGTGAGCGGGAAGCCAAGAAAACTAAAAATTAAATCAATGATGTATATTAATATAGACGCGTCTGTTCACGAGAGATATAGTACAGTAAATTCAACTTTTTTTCCGTGCATACATGCATGCATATTCCAAGGAAAACTAAATAATACTTACAATATGTGGAGTCTGCATTAATATTGCTAGAAATATTAAGCTGTATACAACATGCACTGCCTGTTTTGAGCTGTACTTATATTCTTCAATCTGATAGTTCCTAACATTGATGTAGACATAGGCACATAAACTGTTTATTGAACCAGTATTTAAAAATAGGAGCATAGTGTAATGTCTAATGGATTGAAGGTGAAAGCTTTTAAAATGTTCCTGGCTTGCTGGTCATAGACTTTGTATGCAATTTTAACATTTATTAAGTAATTAACTGTTTTACTGTAGCATATAACTATTCTTTTAATATAGGTGTACATGCAAAAAGCGTTCAAACTTAATTCGACAACAGGCTATAATTCCATACATCGATTTATTATGAACATTTTGGGAGGAAGATTAATATTGGTAAAATGCATTTTGTAGTTTACGGTAGTTAACAATCACCTTTGTCAGTAAGCGTCAGCAAACGTAATAATTTTATTTAACATATATATTTTTATCACACCATTTTAAAGATTAGCTGACCCCAGATGTGTTTTGTTGTTGTTGTTGTTGTTGTTCATTAATAAGTTCATTTGCTGGTATGAATTCAGAAGCTCTGTCAGGTTACATTGTCTGATTTCAGACACAATTCAGCTTTAATTTTTGTTGGGTATGTTGATAAAGCATGGTTTAGACCTGTAATGGTTCATGTCCTTTTAGCAAAT